TAGGTTTTTATTTATACCCTCCCTAATGGGCCCCCTCCTACTCTAGGCTCCCCAGCAGCCTTATGCGCTGCCATGGCTATTGTTACACCACTGCTGACAGCACAGGAGAGAGACTGTTGTCCCCTGAATCATCAACTGGCTTATGAATAAGATTTCTATACAATTAAAATGTTATATCACTATATATAAAAAACTATCAGTAGCTTGTAAAATAGGGTTTGCCGCATGGGTGGTAAATAATGAAGGCTTTATTCATTCAGGATTAAGCACAATCCGAAGGTTATGTCACTACCTCTAGTTAAAGAACTCATCATTTTTTTCTCTGGGAAGAGAGAGCTTAAAGCTGGCCTTAGATGAGGGTTTTTTTTTTTTTTTTTAGTTAACTAACAGATTTCTCCATCCACATGAGCAATGTATTGTTAATGATAAAAGGAGGCACTTTTTGTAAATATAATGCTGTTCCTGTGTATTGTGACCTGTCAGGAATGGACAAACTTATAGACTTACAGTGAGTTCCACTTTAAGCTGAAATAGTTGTCCCACCTTCCTGTCTAATGTCCATACATGGGTCGAAAAATCGACCGATTTTTCATCCAAAATCAGTCCTAAAAAATAATCAGGCGATTTTTGCTGTTAGTGGGTCAATGGCACCAGCTGATTTTCGTGGTTCCTCCCCTATTCGGTGATCAGGCATGTTGGAAAATTTGTGAAAAAACGACCGATTTTCAACTCAATGATGGTCAAATCATACGACCATTTTTCTGAAAAGAATATGCGTATGAGCCATGACCTGGAAGGAACAGAAGTTTCACCTGTTATATGGGGTGAAATTTATGACTTGGTCGGCCGATTTTCAAAATCATTGATGGATTACCGAACGAACAACGTTTTTATTGTCGGATGAAAAAACGTTCGGAATTCATCCCATGTATGGCCTGCATAAGGTGGCATTAGGCTCATCCAGGTACCTGCCCACATCCTCAATTTATTTTCAGAATGCCTTGGTAACCCCAATTCCAGTATGCATAACCCGACCATTATACCATCCCTGGTCAGCCTTCTTCAGGGCCTTCCTATAGATCAGTGAGGTTACCTACTACTATTATTACTATTATACAGGATTTATATAGCGCCGACAGTTTGCTCAGAGCTTCACATTATGGAGGGAGACAGTACAGTAACAATACAGTTCAATACAAGAGGGATTAGAGGGCCCTGCTCCTTGGAGCTTACAATCTAGGAGGGAGGGGATAGTGGTACAGGAGGTAATTAGCTGTGGGGGATGGAGTGGTTGGGGGAGTAGGGGATTCTAGTAGTTAGCGGGGTCGGGGTAGGCTTCCCTGAAGAGATGAATTTTCAGAGTGCACCTAGCACTGATAGCTTGGGGTAGGGAGTTCCAGAGGATGGGTGAAGCCCGTGAGAAATCCTGGAGACAAGCATGGGAGGAGGGGATAAGGGAGCTAGAGAGAAGGAGGTCTTTCGAGGAGCGGAGAGTACGGTTTGGGTGATATTTAGAGACAAGATTGATTATATAAATTGGGGCAGTGTTGTGGATGGCTTTATATGTCATTGATGGAAGCTTTGTTGAACTTTAGCATTAAATACTTTACTTATAAATATGTGTTTTGAATTTTATCCCTTGGGCAACTTTGGAGCCAGTGGAGGGGATTGGCAGAGAGGGGTGGCAGATACAGAACAGTTAGTGAGGTGGATGAGTCTGGCGGCAGCGTTCATGATAGACTGAAGGGGGATAGCCTGCGATGATGTAGGCCAATGAGGAGAGAATTACAATAGTCGAGGCGAGATATTACAAGGGAGTGAATAAGTTGCTTAGTGGTTCCCGAGGTTGGGAACGGGCGTATCTTGGAGATGTTGCGGAGGTGAAGTCTACATGAGAGTTTTGTCAGCGATTGGATCTGGGGCTGGAAGGACAGATGGGAGTCTAGGATTACACCTAGTACCCTGGCATGAGGGGAGAGACTGATGATTGTGTTATCGATATTTATGGTAAAGTCAGTGGAGGGGCACGGGCTGGGGGGAATACTAGGAGCTCAGTTTTGGAAAGGTTGCGTTTGAGGAGTGATGGAGTGACAAAGGACAAGCCGATATGTTTCACTTAGTAGGTTAGTAATGCAGTGATGGGAGACTGAAGGGGTGAGGTCAGGGGACTGTAGACAGATAGTTTTGCGTGTCATCAGCATAGAGATGGTAATTGAAGCCGTGGGAGTTTATCAAGTGACCGAGGCAGGAGGTGTAGATGGAGAAGAGAAGGGGTCCAAGGACAGAACCTAGAGGGACCCCTACAGAGAGAGGGAGCGAAGAGGAGGTGGCAGGCCCTCCTGGCAAGGCAAGGAGACAACGGAGCTAGAGAGTAGGAGGTCTGCGAGGAGCGGAGAGTACTACATGTGAAGACCAATAGGAAGATGCAGGTAGCCATTGAAGGCAGACCAGCTATTGACCATGGCAGATATGTATATAACAGCACTCCTGAGTGTTGGACCACGCACATAATGATGGAAGCTGCCATTGTTGAACTTTACTTATAAATATGCTAGTTGCCTGGCCCTCATTCCGATCCTCTGTCTATGCTTTTTGGAGTCATTTCCTGGGAGCAAGCATGCAGGTCAGGAGTTGCAGCTTAACTTGGCATGTACTTGTTTCTGATCATTGAAAACTAAAGGGTCAGCATGACAGCCAGGTATGATGGTACAGTTATTATAAAACCAGATTCATATAGCGCCAACAGTTCTTGCAGTGCTTTTTCCATCTAAAGGGAGACATTACTGGTATAATACCTGCCATACAAGAGGATTAGGAGGGCTGTGCTCATGAGAGCTTAAAGCAGAAAAAAAAAGTATGCGGGGAACGCCAAGACAAAGGTAAAAAGTCCAAAATAGTTAAAACAGAACTATGCTGCATCTGAGCACCACAAACAAAAAAATGTTATTTTCAAGTGATTCTAAAGGCTTTTTTTTTTTAAATAACAAACATGTGTATACTTACCTGCTGTGTGCAGTGGTTTTGCTCAGAGCAGTCTGGATCCTCCTCATCAGCGGCTTTGAAATTGACCTGAAGTATTGCGTTTTCAAAGCTTCATGTGTGTGAACCATGGCTAAAAAAAGTAAATACAATATACTTTCCTATCTATTTACTAATACTAGCAGCATAAGGATTAAAATAGTCCATGTTGATTGAGAGACTGAAGTTCCACTTTAAATAGTTCTTTAGAAACATCAAAAAATCTGAAATAACCTGTATTTCTCCATGTGAAAAAAATATCTCTCAGTGCAAATAACCCAAACTATGTACAACATATACACTTTGAGAATGTTACAACAAATACAGTTAATATCCATGTAAAAAGTATCAAGTGAGCAAACAATCTCTCTAATACCAAAATCTATGGTGTAACTGTGTTGCAAAAATAAATGTACAAAAATGAGTCTTCATGCAAGGTCGAAAGTGTCTTTCTGAAAGTGTGTCTTCCTGGGGCTGGTTCACACCTGAATCACACAGGAACATGGTCCGCGTTCCTGTGTGATTCCTGTGCAACTCAGTGCAGTGTGATATTCAACTCATTCATTTGAAAGGACTGAAATCGCACTGGATCGCACAAAAAGTAGATTACGGGCTCAGGTACACTGCAGCTGCTAAACTGAAGTTTAGGAGCAGTTGTGCATTTTTTTTCAGCAGCCCCTGAACTCTTCATTTATGTTTTCCTATGTGTCCATGTACACATAGTCGTTTACAGTAGTTTACAGGCAGCTGAGTGTACAGGCATTTTTTTTAAAGCACAAAAATCCTGTTCAGGAGTACAGTTTCAAACACCAAACGCTTTTGATCGCGTGTAAACGCGTATATGCACGTTTGCTTTTAGACGAGTTTTTGGTCTGGTCCATATCCAGATGCTGTCCAGAGCCTTTTTTCTTCATCAAAAATGCATGCACAGCGTTTTCCATGTATTCAAATAGACCCAGTACACCAGTGCAGTCAGTTCCAGGTTTTGCGTGAAGGAAAAAAAAATGGCAGAACGCGCTGAATTATTTCTGCACAGAACTGAACTGGAACACATCAAAACATAGCAAAAAAGCACAAGGAGTGTTGTGTGCACTCCAGAATGCATCCGGTGGCATTACAGGTATTACAGCACTATGTAGCTCCTTCCACAGTGCCCAGCATGTTTTGACACGAGCCACTTTTGCTATAGTTACAACACACATCAGAAAGTAGTGCTCTCTCTGTTTCCCACAAAATGTCTGAAATAGTTAATTATTTACAATTTTTCAGTGCATTCTGGACATTTGGGAAGGTCTCCTGGGGTTATCTTTTAAAAACGCTTCTAAATGCAAACGCGTATAAAAGCGGTAGGTAAACGTGGCTAAACTAACGTTTTTAACCTATGTTTTCTAGCAGTCAGTTTCCAGCATTCAGAAAACTTTTTCAAACGCCCCGTGTACATGAGCCCTGAAAAATGCACCATACCAAATTACATGGTACTGTGGTACCATGTGATCCAATGCAGGCAAACCCAAGGCATTGTGATCTGGGTTTAGGGTGTCGTTAGGAATATATTGACACCCGAAGCTGATCGCACACCCAGTGCATTTTGAACACGGTGCAGGAAACATTTACAGAATGGTGGTTTTCCCAAGATGTGTTTGGTGTGAATGAGCTCTTAGTTTTTCAATGTGCTCATGAAAATCAGCATACTGACTGTTTTCTTTTTTTCAATGATTTTGTTTTTTGAGTTTGGAAATAAAAAAAAAAGGATATTTTTACTATACAGGATATACACTTCCTTTTAATCATATTAAAGGACAATGGAAAACAAATTGCTGCTGAGTACAACAGAGATACAGACATGGAAGGATGTGTGTTATCAGGGGCGGACTGACTATTTGGAAACTTGGGCACTGCCTGAGGGCCCGGGGTCAGTAGGGGGCCCCATGAGATGCCCCTGGTACCTTTTTCATAGGCTTTTTTGAGTTTGGGCAAGGACAAAGGGGCCCCATGATCCCCTATTGCCCGGGGGCCCCATGAGTTGTCAGTCCGCCCCTGTGTGTTATAATGTCCCAAACAGATATTGGATGTCACGGTGTCAAACCTTCCATATTGGAAGTCACGGTGTCTCATAATACCAATTTTGTAATTAGGCGCTTCTTAAACCGCTCCCAACCGCCCTATAGCAGAAGTACTGCTACAGGGCGACAGGGCTAAGAAAAATCATGTATATATACATGATTTTGTATTTCTGGGTAGGGGGGTGAGTTGCGCTGCCCTACCCGTGCCACCATTGGTGGCTTCAGCTGACGATCACCATATCCCAACCGGAGATTCCCCACCGGCACCCGCGATCGTCAAGGAACAATGACAGAGGACAGGTCTGTATGTAAACCAAACAGATCTCTCCCCTGTCAACACCAGCATGCTGATGCATAGCAGAGCAATACAAAGCAGTGTGCTTACACAGTAAATCACACACAGACAACACAGTAAAACAGCACACAGTTAACTCTTTGATCGCCCCAGATATTAACCCCTTCCTGCCCAGTGTCATTAGTACAGTGTCAGTGGCTTTTATTAGCACTGATCACTGTATTGGTGTCACTGGGGATGTCAGTGGCAGTTAGTCCATTCCCCCCCACTCTCAGAATGGCCACCGCTGTCCCGCTATAAGTTGCTGATCGCCACCATTACTAGTATTAAAAAAAAAAAAATTCCAGTATCTATACTGTCATTTGTAAATGTTATAACTTTCACGTAAACCAATTAATTTACATGTATTAGGAATTTTGTTTAGCAAAGACATGTCGCAGAATACATTTTGGCCTAAAGTTATCATGAAATTTGTTTTATTTTTTATTTTTTACTGGATGTGTTTTATAGCAAAAGTCAAAAAACATTGTCTTTTTTAAAAATTGTCAGTCTTTTTTGTTTAAATAAAAACCACAGAGGTGATCAAATACTACTGAAAGAAAGCTCCATTTGTGGGAAAAAAGGACTTAAATTTAATTTTGGTACAGCGTTGCATGACCGTGCAATTGCCAGTTAAAGTAATGCAGCACCGTAATGCAAGAAATGGCCTGGTCAGGAAGGGGGGTAAATCCTCTGGAGGGCAAGTGGTTAATGAACTCCAAAGGGTAACGTAGAGGTGAAAAAAAGAGCACAAAAATGGATAACAATGAATGAAGAAAGAAAAGGAGGCAACAGAAGATTTTTTTGCCTTCCTCTGGATCAACTGTGGGTGTAGGATTATAACTTTTTTTTATGGTTGAACTGGATGAACTTTTGTCTTTTTTCAGCCAGACTAACTATGTAACTAGAAGATGCACCAAAGCCCAACCTTCTGAATTCTTCATTGTTCACCTGAAAGAGAGTCTATTCAAGGTGGCTATGTTTTATCGAATAAAGCTTGTTTATCATTCAAGAAGGCAGTTCATTTTTCATTCACCATACTCCATGACAGCTTGGCTTTCTAAGGATTTCCAAGACCTAGCAATTTCTATTCTTGCTGCTAAGAAAATAAATTAGAACAATTTTTAATATGTTTTGGTGTCTCCCCTTTAGATTGGTTCTGAAGGACCTGCTAGGGGATTTTTTAAGATGAATTTTTGTGCAGAAAAAATGAAGTTATAAATCAAATCTATGGTGTGCCGTCCCTTCTTGTCTGCACCCCCAGAAACACTTAGGGGAAGCACAGGGGGCATAAGAGGCTATTCTCATGGGTATCATGTACCATCTTAGTAACATTTTGAAATTTGCTTCTATAATTGAAATATTTATATAGGAATTGGTGGTCAAAAAAGCTAGCTTATGCCATATAAGGTCTAGGTCCTTACCCAAATCTTCACATCTAGACATATAAGGCAATTTGTTGGAATTTCATTTAAGCAGTCCATATATTGCAGAGATATGGCCAGGCATCTTGTCAAAGTTTTTTTGGCCTACCTCATTGCAGGCTATCCCCTCTTCAGTCTATCATGAATGCTGCTGCCAGACTCATCCACCTTACTAACCATTCTGTATCTGCCACCCCTCTCTGCCAATCCCTCCACTGGCTCCCATTGCCCAACGGATAAAATTCAAAACACTAACAATAACATAAAAAGCCATTTATAACTCTGCCCCAAATTACATCACCAATCTTGTCTCCAAATATCACCCAAACCGTACTCTCCGCTCCTCGCAAGACCTCCTACACTCTAGCTCTCTTGTCTCCTCCTCCCATGCTCGTCTCCAGGACTTCTCCAGAGCTTTCTCCCATCCTTTGGAACTCTCTACCCCAATTTATCAGACTATCGCCTACTCTGCTCACTTTTAGGCAATCTCTGAAAACCTATCTCTTCAGGGAAGCCTATCCTGCCCTCAGCTAATACTGGAATCTTCTACTCTTCTAACCAGTCCATCCCCCACAGTTACTACCTTTTGTACCACTAGCCCCTCCCTCCTAGATTGTAAGCTCCAAGGAGCAGGGCCCTCAAATCCCTCTTGTATTGAACTGTATTGTTGCTGTATTGTCTCCCGTTATATTGTAAAGCGCTGAGCAAACTGTTGGCGCTATATAAATCCTGTATAATTATAATAATAAATAATAATAATACTTCACTGAAGTAATTGGTATTGACTTTTTTAATTGCTAAAGGTCAGCAATGCTTTTTGTTAAACAGTTTTTGTTGCCCTCAAGGCATCCTTTTGCACTACTCTCTACTCGCAGATAATGCAATAGACTCTCAATGAAAGAGAATCGGCAGACTGATGAACTCATCTCTCTGTCATTTTGCCTTTTCCTCATCTCAGCATGTTCCTTGCTAGTCCATAAGCACTACCACATAGCCAGTTGGCTCCTTGTACTGTTTCTCCCACTCCCAGTCTGAGCTGTACAGGGACTAAAAGTGATTGACACAAAGCAGTACTTACGCTTGCATTAGAAACACATACTGATGTATTAATGAATACAAAGCTGTTGTTATGTGTATCTTATCCTGAGTTCATCTGTCAGCTGACAGGCTGTCACCACTGGATTAAGGACAAAATTCACCCAAATTACTTAGGAAATACATTCAGTGAAGGATAATAATAAGACATTGTTAAGACATAGTACAAGGCTGTACACTCCCTGCACAGTGCTGAGGATGGACAGGTTCCATTATAATAAATGTTGTATGTACACAGAGATCTGCAGACTGTCAACATCCACCCTATAGAGAAGCATATTGAGCATGATCAGGACCAGATCTCAGGAAGCCGTCCAGACTCCAGGTATAAAGACTCATTTGTCATATGGAGAACAAATATTTAACAATGTCTGAAAGTTTTCACTGCTGGCCATACTTCCTCATCCATCACTCCAGATAAAAATGACATAACAAGGTGGATAGGAAATACATTTACAGGGCGTCGGCTGTGAAACTAGTATATTCACAAATACATAGAATACGAATTACCTGCCGCAGGATTTGTAAAACAATGTACAGTACGCACAATAAGATCTGGTTCACATCACTTTGCAGGAAACATGCATGAATGCACTGCCTTTGCAATCTGCATGCGGGTGCCAATGTATTGTTAATGGCACCCCAAATGCAGTTCACAAATGCAATGCATTTGCGGGCACCAAATTGCATAGTACAGCAATACCATGAGATTAGGTGCAGTGCGCTTTTGAACATAGTCTAATCAGTACTTTTTTGTGGGCTCCATTGCTGTTTGCATCCCATTCAGGTTCGAACCCACATGCTCCTGTGTGATCCTGGTATGAACCGACCCTAAATATCACCTTCCTTCTGTTCTCTGGCTGCAGGGCATAAAGTAGAAGTAAACCCAACAGGATGGCATTTAGCTTGTTCTGTGCTCAGTGCTTAATAAACAATTGCAGTCTTCTTTTTCATCAAATCCTGTTTAACTTTTTTTAAATCCTGTTTTGTGCTGCTGATCTCCTTTAGCCTCTTCCACACACTTTCTATCTACATAATCCAAAATGGATGTTACACCACCCCAAGTCCTGCCCCCTAATCTTCACCAAAGGAAGGTGCTGGTCCAGTTTGCATCCGAGACAACTTGAGTTATAGAAATGGACAGCCACACACTACCATAGTGAAGATCCATAGATTTTAATGTATAAAGATAAAAGCATCATCACAGCTCCACGAAGACAAAGGCAAACGTTGACGCGTTTCACTCTGTTGCTTAGTCATAACTTCTTATATACATCATGCTTCAGCATCAGCTGCACATCATTGCCAAGACAGGTTCTCCAATGGACAATGGTGGACCATGCCTACTCAATGTGTGCTTGTAGTCAGGTGTCCGGTGAAAATTACCAGGTGACTACAGAGGAGCATAATTGGGAGGTAGTGGTCACTCCTACTAGGAAGTGTCCAATCAAGGATCTTTATGGCAGGTTCACCAAGGATTATGGTGGGAATACCAAGACAACTCATGATATTAGATTAACAAGTCAAAGCTTATGTGATATTTTATTAAATCGGTTCACATCTACTATAATAATGGGGAATAGACTCTAAGGATATGCAGTTTTGAATCCTCTGTCACTGTCCTGCCTCTTTTCTGCTCCTTGGACTACTGGTGGACAACCTGATGACATCTAATTATTATTATTTTTTTATTCCAATGTAATAATCAACACAAATTACAAAGAACAAGTGTACATTCTCTTGGGATATCAAGCTCCCAGCTCCACCAGGGAAGTATTTGTGTAGGGGGGCAAGGGATCTGTAAAAAAAAGCAAGCAGACCTTCAATCTGCCATTGAAGTTCATTTCAAGTAATGCAAAACTACTGCAGAGTAAAACCAGAATTTAAAAAAGACTGGCCATCTGTTTAATTGAGAGCTGCTTATCTCTTATTCAAGTCAATGCGAATGCAAAAGTAACTCAAAAGCATCTGGAGGCAGCTCAGGAGGAGGTTAGAAGCATCACCAATGAACCTCAAATGCAAGCCAGATTTTGAGATCATGCAACAATTTCCCATCTACACTTGCCCTTTTCAGGTTTTAATTGGTGTCTGTCTCCCCACTGGGAAATTTCCCCTGTCTGTCTTG